GAAATTAGAGGAGAACTGCAAATGGGTGTCTAAACTGCTCCATAATCTATCCCTCCGTCCTTTTCCCCCTCATATCTCCCCCCTTCCCCACCTACCCTTCTATATATATAAAGTCATAATATACATACAGATTTTCCTGGCAGGAGGGTGGCTTCTCCGTGGCATGAGAATTGAGGTAGGTGTTGAGCAAGATGGAGAAGCAGGGCACGTGCATTACTAACTCTTGCACAAGCAGATCTATAGTTGACGGGTAAGTGAGTTAGTTTTTCATGTGCCCGCCTTCTCCATCATGACCACCCGACCTTGTAGTTATTACTATGAAAGCGAGGCAAGATCATCAACGCTTGGCGACACCAGGGAATTGCTCCAGCAGTATACATAACACCCAAGTTCTATTTTCAGGTGAGTCATGTTGCAGTACATTATTGTATTTGAAACAATTTGTTGATATTTCCTCATAGTGTTCTACGGTGAAAATTCAAAGTTCATGTGACAAATAAGGATAATGATCGAGGAAAAATGGTCCCAAACAGATAATGATGAAGACAAAATAGGCATGAGTGGTCTAAATTTTGATCGGTATGTTTTTCAACAAAAGTTATGGTAGAGAATTATTGCTAAGTATCATGGTCGAGGTCATAATTAATCACATGAGCATATAAGAGGATGAGGTACAATTTAGGAAGGCTGTTCAGTCACCATCCCATTTGTGAGGTTTGATACAACTTGACATATTGCCCCTCTTTTCTCTCTCAACAAGTTGTTTATTCAATTGAAATGGGCTCCAATGCATTAGACACAGGATAGTGCATTATCGGTGCTGATTATTCTAATGAAAGCAAAAAATAGTTAATACATAGTTGAATCAATAGCTATGTATTGGTAATAAATCAAGCTTGAATGAAAAATATCTTGAAAGTCACTTGACAGTTGACACTGACCAGCTGCTGGTTCAAGTTTTCTTACACTATCCACTTCTTCCTGATTCTAACAATCACTTAGATGGATACAAATGCTAGAATTAACCACATTATGAGGAAGCTAGTGGAGCAGCTGATTATTTTGGCAGATTAGTCTGCGTACGCATACTATAGGCCTCATGTATTTGAAGGGATGATATACCATGAAAGTTAAACACTCCCTCAGATGGAGACCCTCGAGTATAAAGTTGAAGATGCATGTATCCGACAAGTTGGTGAGAGTTTTTTACTTTGCAGCTATGGTAGATCATTCTAGATCATGTTTTTAGTTGTACCATCAGACAAACTTCAGCCTCGTCCCTAATTAGTTACATTCTCTTGGTATTTTAAGTTGCATCATGACTTCATAACAGAAAAGGAACTTCAACCTTCTGTAACACAGGTTTTAGGTGCTTGTGACCTTTTTTTTCTCTCTCTCTCACCACTGGCATTAATTTAGAAAATTTTGCATAGAGGACTTGAATAAATAGTCACACCTACCCATATATAGCATTTAGGTGTCACCGTCCTGCGTTAAGCACCTTATGTCTCTCTTTTGGTTCTGTGTTCCTGTTCATGCTTGTATTGACAATGATCTGGCATGCCCAACTGCTTGTTTTCTGATGGAATTGTGTACTCTCAGTTATCTACCACATGGGGGAATCCTATAAGGTGTGTTTGGAAGCTACTTCAGAGGAATAATATTTGTCCACTGTGATTTGTATGCCGGAGTCTTGTCTTCGTTTTTTTGAAAGAAAATTAAATAGATGAATGGCTGTTTTGTCCAAGCAATCGTGCAGCAGAATATTCTTGAATTACCAACTGCAATTTATTTGTTATTATAAATTATCATCCTTCCCAATTCATTTTTTGAACTAAAGAAATCCCAAGGACAAACAAGAAGTTTTTAAGTACAAAAATGAAATAAAGTAATAGAAGCAGCAAATGTTTTATTATAGACCCCCCAAAAAATAAAAAAACATTGACAAATAGCAATGTTTTCGGCACTTCATTGTACAAGATTCAACCAAGAAGATGTCCTAAGAATTTTTCATCCATCTTCTGTTAATAATCAATTTAATAGTGGAAGAAATGTTTGTTTGTGTATCCATATATCCATCGCTGTCTGACATTTCTAAAGTTCCCAGGATTAAATGGTGGAATCTTCAGGTTACATATATTTTCTGTCTATTGAAAGTGTCCATCCCACATTTGCCCCAGCTAGATGGGATTCAAAAAAAGTAGAGCTGTATGGTTCCTTCTGTTAGGCAGAAAGCACAAGTTAATCCTGCCATAGAGGGAAATTATGACAAGAACGTCAAAGGAGTTGATCTTGATTGTTTCCCCAGAATAAATAAGACAAGAAGATGCCCTCACGAAACTCCTAGTTCTTAGAAAAGTTGAAAGCGTCCAAGAGATTGGGTCAAATGATTGATTAAGATGAAACATTTGATTTGGATTCTGTCAAATGAGGTTATGACATGATATGGGAATTCTGGTCGTAGGGTTTGTTGAAAATATGGGAAGATCTCGTGAATTACGGAATCAAATATGACCACCATGAGAAACTGTCATCATTTATGGCATGGAAGACTGTGTACCAAGCTTACCCTGTGCTCTCTCCTTGTATCAGACACACACATCTCCACAATGTAATCGATTTATCAATAGAATAGAAGCCTTGGGCAGTTGTGTCCGTGGATGTAGGCCAGAATAGGCCGAACCACGTTATCTCTCATTTCAGATCCAATCTCTACCCACAGAAAATTTAACATGTTATCAGAAGTCCTCAGAGCACAGAATTCAACAGGGTTTTCCGGATTGATTCTGATTTAATCAGAGAGATTGCTCCAATCAGAATGGTAGATTGATAAGCAGCAACAGTAGTTAAACCAACCAGTTTCCTACATTCAAAAAGATGAGTCAATTTGACTTGATTTGAAGAATGAAGCCAGAAAGACATCCAAACAATGAAATCCGGGTAGGGCTCCATGTTGTCTACATAGTTAAACCATAATATTTATTATGAGAAACAAGTAATTGACATTTGATCCAATTCCTGATATTGACAATTTTACAAGAGCAAGCAACTACTATAGACACCAGGGTTGGGGTATCCCCAAATGAGTTGGATTCGATTTTGAGGTCAAAGCTTTGGCATTTGAATGACAGATCGTGTAACTAGAGCTACAAAGACATAAGTTTGCTTCATCGCGCCAGACCAGGCCCCAAACTATGCACGCCACCTTTGTGCACCACTTTACTTTTACCAATGTCAGTCGGCTACCTTGGGCTTCAACAAATCCATCAAAGCAGCCTCCTCAAACAAGGGACAAATCTGGATCCAGGGAGAAGTGCTTCTCATGCCCTGCACCCAGTGGCAACATTCTTACCAACCATTTCATTAAGCAATTCCAAGTGCTTTACAAACCAAGCCCCCTGTCACAACCCACTCATTATCTCATCAGATGTTGAAAGATTGAGGAATTAAACATTTTCCCACCATTTCCTATAGCAAACTACATCATCAATTTCACCTTTACTAACCATACATTTAATCATAATCTCAAATGCTGATGACCTTTGAAACCATCTCCCTCAGAATCCTTGCTCAATTTCCCACTTCCACAAAATGCCCCCATGAGCTGATACACTAGGTTCTCAAATAAGGTTTACAACCCCAACTCCTACATCCAAGCAAGCATCTTTACTCTATCTTGCACCTTATCAGCCTACACAAAACAATTATATACACATTGCAATTTTATATATCAGAATCAAGTCCTATTTAAGCATTTTTTCCCCCTGCTAGAGATGCATGGAGCATTGCCTGTATAAGCATTTGATCAAACAGCTGCTCCATCCTCGCATCTTCAGCTACCAAGAACGACCAATCCAGAACCATATTATAACGACAATCCAAAGCATCCATGCTCCACCCTTTTCCCACCAAATACGACACACAGCGCACCAATCAACCCCCGTTCCGACAGAAACTGTAGTATCAAAGAACAAAACTTTCCATCTAGACTATACCCTTCATTTATCATATAATTCAACAACTCAAGTGCATAATTGACCATTCTAGTTCTATAAATAGCTCTAATTAATATGAAAAAACCCGATTCTTCAATCCGAATGTTCATCAACTTACTCTTTATCAAGATCAGGCGAACAATTGCAAGACCTCTGCTTTTTTTTTTTTTAATTTATAAAGAGAACTGAGATTAAGGAATTGAGAGAAACCACAGGGGAGGGTACATATAAAAATGGGTGTTCTAAAGAAAATCTCAACGGCTTCACGTATCATATAGGAATTACCATAAAATTTTGATCAAATCAATAAATAAATTGTATGGATTCGGGTGTTCAGACATATTCAACATTGTGAATATAATCCAGAACTTGGGAGACTTGACCATCCAATTTCACGTCTTGGGTTAGGGTTTTGAATCTTTTGATGATGAAGTGGAGGCCTTAGGAGTTGGGTCGCAACTCACAACTGTGGGGGTGGTTGAAGTATTCAATTAGGGCTGAGGGGAGATGGGAGATGGGTTGAGTTTGTTCTTTGGCGATTGTTTAAGGGTTAGCATGGCTTTCTGTTGATTGGGCTTTCTGTTTGGACTTTGCTATGAGCTATGGGTTGACATGGGTGAGGAACCTCCATGGTTAGAAATTTAACCGTAAATATGTTATTGATTAAAATAACGTCATTTTAATATAAAATAATATTATTTTGTTAAACAAAATGATATTGTTTCGATGTTGTTTTAATCAACAGCACCTCTACTTTAAATTTTTGGCGATAGAGCTGCAGAGGAGATAGATCCGGGTTGACTTATATGGTGTGCTATGAGTTTTGGATGAAATTACTTAAAAGGTGGTCGGTCTATTTTTTATTTTAAAAATTGCATAGCTTTTGGAAATATGACTTGGTTGGTTATCTAAATTATTTTTGACAAAGGCCTTTGTTGGTGAAGCGATAAGATATTCAAGTTATCAGGCAGAAGGTGATCAAAATGATTTTAATATTTTATTTTTTCATAAATAATATGAAAGACGAGGCCTGTCTTCAATATGTGCCTTCTCGACACCTCCCATCCCATGACTGAATCCAGAGCAGGCAGTGACCTCACACTTATTTTGTTCTAGTTGCTGTTGTTCCTGTATGGGATTAACAGTGGTCATTGCACCAAATGCAGTTTTGTGGTAGTTCGTGGCAGGCCTTGGCTTTTGGCATGAGATCGATTTGGCATCACTATCTCTACAAAAGAATGGAGAATAGAAGTCAACAAGGCCAGATATAAAGATGGTTTTCTTTTTTGCAGTAATGGAGGCTGATTGTGTATCCACTCAACATCGGCTAACAAAGTGGCGGTGATTATCTCATCAGGGACCATACAAATGATGATGGGTGTTGACACGTTTTTACTATTGCAACAAAAATAGTTGCTTTCCTGGAATGAATGAACAGATGCTGTCAAGAAAAGAAAGGAATCAAATAGAACAGATGCTTTCCGAGGACCTCACAAAATAAAGGATGACTATGGTCTCCATATTAGTACCATATAGAAATTATACTTATAATTCAAAATGATTTAACTTACAACTCATAAAGTTGCGATCAATCTTGACAAATGAGTAGAAGATCAAACTTGAATGAGTTTCTGGCCGAGGGGATCTTGAGTTTTTTTTTATTAATATCTCACTTATGTGCGGCCCTACTCACGAGTTTAATTCAACTTAAAGTTAACTCAAAGGATAGTTCATATGGTAATAAAACGAGTTATAAATTTATATGTTTTAAATTTGAATCTTGATAACTCTTTAGAGTCAGATTACGAGGAATTTATTCCTCAAGAATGTCCTGATCTTAGTGAAAATAACTTATTTTTAACCAAATTGGAGAAAGAATCAATTAAAATACACATAAATTAATTCAAACACCCCCTCGCGTTTAGGGGGGGGGGGGGGGAGGTAAGCTGTTGATAAAGCAGTTTAGTCAAAAGTGTACACTACCGGTCTACCAACCACATCAACTCAGGCAGGTCTCTTCTGTCCCTTGCTGTATGGAGGGCTAATACAAGAAATTATTACTTGTTAATCTTTCCTACAACTATTAAAGTCCTATTATAACAACACTACAACTATGTCGTAATCAAATTATTGTAGTTTGTTACATAGCTGCCTCAGCCTCCTTTTAATCGATTATTATCATCACTAGCTTTCACTTTTTGTGTGACTTATGTGATCTTCTGTATTTGTCAGTTTAGCTTTAATTTAATCTTTAGTCACTTCGGATGCTGAAAATTATTCTTGATTAGTTGAAAGAGACCTAATTAGAATATTCTACATATCACCACTCTAAGTTTGGCATTTAAGACCCTAAAGTTGATCAAGGATTAACATTTATAAGAAATGAAATTTCTCAAAAAAAATAAGAAAAGATTATTTGAGTATAGAAAAGTTAAAAAACTTAATGTACAAATGGAAAAAGTTCATTTCGAAATTGCTAATGCCTCTTTTTCAAATGGGGAGATATTAAGACACGCGAAAGTGAAGTTTAGAAAATAAAACTAATGCTTTATTTGGTATGAAAAAATTGGAAAGATAAAAGATTAAAAAGATAGATAAAATATCATGTTGGGTATGAAAAATGATTCCCAAAAGTCTATATTACGACCATTAGCTACCTGTTATCCTAGACCTTTTTCCAACAAGTCCCTGCCACAACAAATTATTCTAGGTCTAAGATGGTCGTGCTCCTCTTTTAGCTTTCATGAAATCCCCATTTGGAAAATAAATTGCTTTCAAAAACCTTGCTCAGAAGGAATTTGGGTACTGAATGAGCCTCCATCATTGTTTAGCCAACAAAGCATGGTTAAAAGAAAAAAAGTCACGAAAACCCGTTCCTCCCTTTGTTTTGGCTTCTATCATGGTACGCCTACTTTCCAATTTATATCCCTTTCTCCACACATCCCCCACCAGAATTTGCGCACGTAATGATTAAGCTTTTCACAAAAGCTCTTTGGAAGTGCAACGTAGGACATCACGTAACTTGGGATAGCTTAGACCACCTCTTTGATCAACACTTCCCATCCAGCTTGAGAGATATAGAGGCCTTTCCACCTTTGTATCTTTTTAATCTCTTTGTCCAACAAATAACCCAACTTCAGCTTTTGATATTCCCCAAAAATTTGGTATGCCCAAGTTTTTAGCATTTTGAGGCAGTGGTTCCATATCTAGTATAGCGCTAAAGAGGCTTCTCTGTTCCACAAACGTGTTGGTAGATATGATTTATCCTTTGACCCGAAGCATGGAAATAGGCATTAAGAATATGCATAAGGTTGCTTGCTTCAATGGCATATGCTTTTAAGAAAAACAAGGAGTCATCCGCACAAAGAAGATGCGACAGTGTGGGGCATCATTATCCCTGAAATGTATCCTTCCTCTAAGCCTTTGTGTAGCATAGCTGGCAGGACATTTGAGAACTATATATAAAATGATAAGGGGATATAGGATCATCTTTTCGGAGATCTCGTTGGGGAGAGATTGTATATCTCTTCGGCCCATTCACAACTACTTGCAGCTTAACCATGCAATAATTGCATTATCAGGTGCACCCACCTTGGGTCAAACCCCATTTTGATCATAACAGCATCAGAAAAGTCCCACTCAATTCTATCATAAGCTTTTCTTAGATCAAGCTTTACATCCATATCCTTGATTCTTCCGCTTTTCTTGATCTTCAGATAATGGAAGACTTCATTAGCCACCAAGATGCTATCTTGGATTTGTCGATGAAACAAAAAGCCATTTGGTTGGGGGAAATCAATCTGTTGAGGATTAATTTCAGGTTTGCCAACATTTTAGATATAATCTTGTACGCAAAGTTATAAAGAGACATTGGACAAAATTGAGCCGTTGTTTCTAGGGTGGGGGTCTTTGGCGAGAAGGACCACATTTGTGTTATTAAGCTCCTTAAACATGAATCGCCCATTGAAAAAGATTTTAATAGACAAACAAACATTTGGTCCAACAATGTCCCAGAATGAGAGGTAGAAAATTCGGACGAAACCATATGGACCTGGGGACTTAACAGCACCAAGTTGCTTCACTACATTAAAGATTTCTTTACACTGATGGGGCATAGCAATACTCTATTCATATCTTCTGTCACTGAGGTTTTAACCACTTGCAATATCTCAACAAAGTTTCTGCTACCTGAGGTGCTAAATAATTCCTAAAAGTAGTCTTTGATATCATCGTTTATTTCCTTCTAGCCTTCCAACCACATACCATCTTCGGTCTTCAGTTTTAGTATTTGGTTACGTTAATGTCTTTGCACAGTTGTCATATAAAAGAACCTTGTATTATAAATCCCCAGCCTTTAAGCTGTATGAGAGCTAATAATTGCTTCTTTAAGCAGGGTCTTTTTTGTAGGTTCCTCCATTTTTACACTTAATTGATGAGATTGGAGTTCAGATAAGAGTTTGTTGTTGTTGCTAAATTGGGATTTACTTTAATATCTGAGCTTGTTGTTGCATCTTTCTAGTCTTCTCGCCATAGAGAACATAGTTGAGCCCTCCAAATTTCCTTTGTAGCATTCTCTAATAATTTCCTCACACTTTTTTTGTCTTTCATCCACATTGCTTTAAATTTGAAGCTGTAGGGGACCTTCTTTGTGTTTATGTCAAAGTTTATAATCACGGACAGTGATCTGAGCCTATTCTTGGCTCATGGGAAACCCATGCATAGGGAAATCGTAATCTCTATTCAGTATTGATAAGTACTTTATCCAACATCTCCTATACATTTACTCTTCTTCGAAGTTTTTTTTGACCAAGTAAAGTGCGGGCCCTTAAAGTCCAATTCCAATAGATTGCAATCCAAGATTAGTTTGCGGCAAGTCCTCCATCATCCTAGGTCCCTTCCCTCTTGCCTCGTCCTTTTCCCAGATTGAACCAATGACATTGAAGTCCCCATATATCTTCCAAGCATCTAATGAACTTGTTGCCAAGGATTTCAAGGTACCCCAAACACTTTGTCTATAGGCAAGCTCAGTAAATAAAAGTCTCCTACCACATGGTTGGGTTGGGGGGTGTTGCATTGTGCATCTTGTATTGATAATGTATTTACTCGTCATATCTATTAATACTCTAATATCATCCCTCCACCAGAGGGATAGGCCTCTCGAGACACCAAGGGGTTCCATATAGTCACAATTTAGGTATCTTAGCGATCTACGCAATCGTTCCAGCGTCTAGGTTTTATTCTTTGTCTCCATCAAGAAAACTATTTGGGGACAATGTGTCACACCCTGGATCCCCTAGGCATGCAATATATAACGCCCCGCCTCACACGGGCATGTTATATGAATAAGAAGCGTTCTGCTATTAAGCTCAATAGAGACACAGGTTATACACTACTAATGAACTATTCAGTCACAGGCTTGTTACATTTCATGTACGTACATACTGCTTATTGCAATTTACATGCTTTTACAAACTTTAACAAGCTAAATAAAAGAAACAAAATTATAGATCGGCTGTACACAAGATCTACATCTCCGAGCTAATCTGAAAGAGAAAAATAGCGTAGAGTGAACATCACAGCTCAGTAGGATAGTTCCAAAGCACACAAGTTTGAAAATAGGTATTTTGACATCATTGGGCATCAATGAAATAGGCATTTTATACATACATAACCATAACAACAACATTTTATGTGAAATAATAATAGTTACATACACAATAATGTAAAACAGAGTTTACAAGTTCAAATATAGTGCACACCGGAGAGCATCAACATATAGACTACTCAAGTTCAATACAAACCATACAATCCAACCTTTTAGGGGACTTGCACCCTAAGGAAGATATGTTCTCTAATTATAATTTGACACCCAAGTCAGAAGACCAACTAGGCCACATATGCATTTACAAAGTCAATGAAACCCTCTATGGCCTCAAACTAGAATGTAAATCCTATGTCACTCAATCCTGTGTGCACTTATATTTCATTTAAAGATATCATGAAGTTTCAATTCAAAGATCAATACAAATAATCGCACAAAACACGTATTAAAACGTTAATAGGGTCCAAGATTGCAAAACAATACAAACCATCCAATCATAACTCATAGTGTAAATAAAATAATTCAATAATTTAGAAAGAGCTTGTAAAATATCACCCATTTCAGAATTGAGAAACCCTACATTGGCGCGCGTGTCGACACGAAACTGCCAAAAATAGAATAATGTT